AGCTGGAAGGTGGCACAGGTCTCTCTGGACCTCTGAAAGGGCCTGCTTTGGGCACCAGTGGTCCCTGGGAGGGTAGTCTTGTCTGGTTGGAGGATGGCTCCAGGACAGTCTAGAAGCTCTCTCTGGGCTAACCTCCCTTTGTGGAGGTGATGGTTCCCCCTGGACATCAACTTCAACCCATGTAAAGGTCAGATCCAGTTCCATCACTGGTACTCTGTGCTGATAGATGGAGCAGGGGAGTAGCTCTTTCTCCTTGAAGTGGATTCATTCCTCTTCTGATGTCAGAACAGTCCCACCTGGAGCTTTTGATCAGTGCCAGAAAATACCAATTCTTCAGCTTACTAGCAGGTACCTGAGTCAGTACCACTGGATCCTTGTCCTCGGCCCCTTGCTCTCATGATCAGGAGGCTTAAGCAGCCCTTAAGTCTGAAGTACCTAAACATAAGGACTCACCTGAGTTGGAAGGAGTCGGGGAGGGATCCTTTCTTTTTGGAGCAGATGTGGAAGGAGATATGTTCTTGTGCCCATGAGGCTGCCCTTACTCCTGTGAGAAGCCTAAGACAACCAGTCTTTGGCTATATCAGATCTGGCCTCCGCTCCAGTGCTCGTGGTTGGAGGGGCACTACTCAAGGGCTGAGGCTGATGTGCAGGGAGGTGTGAAACTGCACCCCATAGTCTTCAGAGTGATATGACATAATTAAAATGAATTTTATGCAAGATAAGTCATGTGAAATGTCACTGGAAAGGTTATGATTTGCTGAATATGATTATCCTATTTGTATGCATGTATCATTTTTGTATCTGAAGTTATGAATATTGACTATGTCTCTGAATTTCAAATGTAGTTACACCTGGGGAATGCCTGCTAGACAAGATGATTTCATTCTAGACAGTGAGTGGGGAATGGGTCATTAGGAAAACAGTAGGCCTTAGGAGAAGCTTATCTCCCACCTGGAGAGTCTTCTTGAGAATGCTACTGACAGCCTCAGAGTAATGCCTGCTAGGACTCTGCAAGGACATGCGATGAGACCACGTGTCTCTAGACTCCATCTTGGGATGTCAGTGTTTTTCCACAGTCCAGTCTGGGAACCAAGAGTTGAAACAAACTGTTCCCACCATATGCAAAAGCTATATAAGGCAGGGAGTGACATCAACTGTTGTTCTTTGTGCCCCACTCAAGAAGATCCTGGAAACACCTGAGGAACAAGGACTGAACTGTGGGAACTGCTGGACCCAGGCTAAAGGGATTTCTAGCTTGTGAATGGAACACTTGGGAATTCCAAGCTGTAAGCAAGTGCAGCTTGCCCCTTAAGAATCTGCAGCCTGCTTGTATCATCTCTTAGGGTGAGAATCTGCTATTCATATCCAATCTATATTAAGTTTAGTTTGTGTTTTTATTTGCTAAGTAATCTGATTTGATTTGTCTGCTATCACCTATAATCACTTTACCTCTATCTTTTGTGGTTAATAAACTTATTTTTGCTTTATCTAAACCAGTGTGTGGTAATCATATTTCAAGGGCAAAAGGCTGTTGCATATTCCTCTTCACATTGATGGAGGGGGCAAATTTTATGAGCTTAAGCTGTACGGTTCTCTGTGTAGCGCAAGATGGCATAATTTTGGGTTTATACTCCAGAGGGGGTGCTTGCCTGACAACCTGGTAGTTGCCCTAGCTGTAGCCTTCCCATGCAGGGGCTGGTAAAAGAGCCTGCATGTACTGCAGCTGGGTGTGTCCCTACCTGTATGTAGGTTGGTGAAAGTACAGGCTGGAGAGGGCTTTGCAGCTTGTCACAGCAGTACAGTGTAAAAGGGAGCCCAGGCTGGTGGGTCGGGGGGGTTCACTGGTACTCCAGTTCCAGGTGGCACCCTAGAAAGAACCAACATAGGAGGAATATCCCCAGCCTGGATCTGATTGGGGTCTCATGGCTTTCTCCATGAGGTACTTCTTTAGCTGAAGTGCTCATCCCTCTCAGGAGAGGGAAGGAGGAGCAGATCCTGCACCTGCAGAGATATATGCCTCCCCAAGGCAGTAAAGACAGTGGTTGTGGTCATTGCTGACCGAGAAGCAAGAACAGGAGATATGATTCTTAAACCTCAGAAATCTCTGCATAGTCCTTCTCCCAAGGGTGCGGAAAACTAATCTACACTAACTCCTAAAGAGACTATTAAAAACACTAAGAACCATCTACAGTTATAGTTACAGATAAGAAATCTGGTGCTAAGACAGCTTCAGGCTCAGAGGATTTCAACTCAGGCCATGAGGCATTAAGGATGAACTTGGAGAGGTGGACAGTCCGCACTTCCCCTTATACCCTTCGTGTTGACCTAAAGGATCTTCAGGGAGCAGTTGTGGACCAATGGACACTACTTGCAAGGTTTTCCAGTCTCAGGCACATGGGTATCGAAGAAATAATAGCTACAGTACTGCTCCTTCACAGATGTTATAGATTCATAGATACTAAGGTCAGAAGGGACCATTATGATCATCTAGTCTGACCTCCTGCACAACACAGGCCACAGAATCTCACCCACCCACTCCTGTGAAAAACCTCACCTATGTCTGAGCTATTGAAGTCCTCAAATCATGGTTTAAAGACTTCAAGGAGAAAAGAATCCTCCAGCAAGTGACCCATGCCCCATGCTACAGAGGAAGACGAAAAACCTCCAGGGCCTCTTCCAATCTGCCCTGGAGGAAAATTCCTTCCCGACCCCAAATATGGTATCTCACAGAGGAGGATAAGTTCCTATGCCCCTTTTGCAGACTTGACAGAGAGTCTGTGCCCTGGTCTACACTAGGACTTCAGGTCGAATTTAGCAGCGTTAAATTGATGTAAACCTGCACCCGTCCACATGATGAAGCCCTTTATTTCGACTTAAAGGGCTCTTAAAATCAATTTCCTTACTCCACCCCTGACAAGTGGATTAGCGCTTAAATCGGCCTTGCCAGGTCGAATTTGGGGTACTGTGGACACAATTAGACGGTATTGACCTCCGGGAGCTATCCCAGAGTGCTCCATTGTGACCGCTCTGGACAGCACTCTCAACTCAGATGCACTGGCCAGGTAGACAGGAAAAGAACCGCAAACTTTTGAATCTCATTTCCTGTTTGGCCAGCGTGGCAAGCTGCAGGTGACCATGCAGAGCTCATCAGCAGAGGTGACCATGATGGAGTCCCAGAATCGCAAAAGAGCTCCAGCATGGACTGAACGGGAGGTACGGGATCTGATCGCTGTATGGGGAGAGGAATCCCTGCTATCAGAACTCTGTTCCAGTTTTCAAAATGCCAAAACCTTTGTCAAAATTTCCCAGGGCATGAAGGACAGAGGCCATAACAGGGACCCAAAGCAGTGCTGCGTGAAACTTAAGGAGCTGAGGCAAGCCTACCAGAAAACTAGAGAGGCGAACGGCCGCTCCGGGTCAGAGCCCCAAACATGCCGCTTCTATGACGAGCTGCATGCCATTTTAGGGGGTTCAGCCACCACTACCCCAGCTGTGTTGTTTGATACCTTCAATGGAGATGGAGGCAACATGGAAGCAGGTTTTGGGGACGAAGAAGAAGATGATGATGATGAGGTTGTAGATAGCTCACAGCAAGCAAGCAGAGAAACCGGTTTTCCCGACAGCCAGGAACTGTTTCTCACCCTGGACCTGGAGCCAGTACCCCCCAAACCCACCCAAGGCTGCCTCCTGGACCCGGCAGGCGGAGAAGGGACCTCTGGTGAGTGTACCTTTTAAAATACTATACATGGTTTAAAAGCAAGCATGTGAAAGGATTCATTTGCCCTGGCATTCGCGGCTCTCCTGGATGTACTCCCAAAGCCTTTGCAAAAGGTTTCTGGGGAGGGCAGCCTTATTGCGTCCTTCATGGTAGGACACTTTACCACTCCAGGCCAGTAACACGTACTCGGGAATCATTGTACAACAAAGCATTGCAGTGTATGTTTGCTGGTATTCAAACAACATCCGTTCTTTATCTCTCTGTGTTATCCTCAGGAGAGTGAGATATCATTCATGGTCACCTGGTTGAAATAGGGTGCTTTTCTTCAGGGGACACTCAGAGGTGCCCGTTTCTGCTGGGCTGTTTGCCTGTGGCTGAACAGAAATGTTCCCCGCTGTTAGCCATGGGGAGGGGGGAGGGTTGAGGGGGTAGCCACGCGGTGGGGGGAGGCAAAATGCGACCTAGGAACGAAAGCACATGCTATGTATGTAATGTTAACAGCAAGGTTTACCCTGAAAGAGTGTAGCCACTGTTTTATAAAATGTGTCTTTTTAAATACCGCTGTCCCTTTTTTTTTTTCTCCACCAGCTGCATGTGTTTCAATGATCACAGGATCTTCTCCTTCCCAGAGGCTAGTGAAGATTAGAAAGAAGAAAAACGCACTCATGATGAAATGTTCTCTGAGCTCATGCTGTCCTCCCACACTGACAGAGCACAGACGAATGCGTGGAGGCAAATAATGTCAGAGTGCAGGAAAGCACAAAATGACCGAAGGAGAGGTGGCGGGCTGAAGAGAGTAAGTGGCGGGCTGAAGACAGGGCTGAAGCTGAAAGGTGGCGGCAGCGTGATGAGAGGAGGCAGGATTCAATGCTGAGGCTGCTGGAGGATCTAACCAGTATGCTCCAGTGTATGGTTGAGCTGCAGCAAAGGCAGCTGGAGCACAGACTGCCACTACAGCCCCTGTGTAACCAACCGCCCTCCTCCCCAAGTTCCATAGCCTCCACACCCAGACGCCCAAGAACGCGGTGGGGGGGGGGGGCACCGGCCAACCAGCCACTCCGCCACAGAGGATTGCCCAAAAAACAGAAGGCTGGCATTCAATAAATTTTAAAGTTGTAAACTTTTAAAGTGCTGTGTGGCATTTTCCTTCCCTCCTCCACCACCCCTCCTGGGCTACCTTGGTAGTCATCCCCCTATTTGTGTGATGAATGAATGAAGAATGCATGAATGTGAAGCAACAATGACTTTATTGCCTCTGCAAGCGGTGATTGAAGGGAGGAGGGGAGGGTGGTTAGCTTACAGGGAAGTAGAGTGAACCAAGGGGCGGGGGGTTTCATCAAGGAGAAACAAAGAGAACTTCCACAACGTAGCCTGGCCAGTCATGAAACTGGTTTTCAAAGCTTCTCTGATGCGTACCGCGCCCTCCTGTGCTCTTCTAACCGCCCTGGTATCTGGCTGCGCGTAACCAGCAGCCAGGCGATTTGCCTCAACCTCCCACCCCGCCATAAACGTCTCCCCCTTACTCTCTCAGATATTGTGGAGCACACAGCAAGCAGTAATAACAGTGGGAATATTGGTTTCGCTGAGGTCTAAGCAAGTCAGTAAACTGCGCCAGCGCGCCTTTAAACGTCCAAATGCACATTCTACCACCATTCTGCACTTGCTCAGCCTGTAGTTGAACAGCTCCTGACTACTGTCCAGGCTGCCTGTGTACGGCTTCATGAGCCATGGCATTAAGGGGTAGGCTGGGTCCCCAAGGATAACTATAGGCATTTCAACATCCTCAACAGTTATTTTCTGGTCTGGGAATAAAGTCCCTTCCTGCAGCTTTTGAAACAGACCAGAGTTCCTGAAGATGCGAGCATCATGTACCTTTCCCGGCCATCCCACGTTGATGTTGGTGAAACGTCCCTTGTAATCCACCAGAGCTTGCAGCACTATTGAAAAGTACCCCTTGCGGTTTACGTACTCGCCGGCTTGGTGCTCCGGTGCCAAGATAGGGATATGGGTTCCGTCTATGGCCCCACCACAGGCCAGGGGAAAGCAAGTCACAAAGTTCCATGAAAGTGCCCTTACGCATGCGAAAGTTTCGCAGCCACTGGGAATCGTCCCAGACCTGCAACACTATGCGGTCCCACCAGTCTGTGCTTGTTTCCTGAGCCCAGAATCGGCGTTCCACAGCATGAACCTGCCCCATTAGCACCATGATGCATGCATTGGCAGGGCCCATGCTTTGAGAGAAATCTGTGTCCATGTGCTGATCACTCACGTGACCGCTCTGACGTCGCCTCCTCGCCCGGTATCGCTCTGCCAGGTTCTGGTGCTGCATATACTGCTGGATAATGCGTGTGGTGTTTAATGTGGTCCTAATTTGCCAAAGTGAGCTGAGCGGCCTCCATGCTTGCCTTGGTATGGCGTCCGCACAGAAAAAAGGCGCGGAACGACTGTCTGCCATTGCTCTTACGGAGGGAGGGGCGACTGACGACATGGCTTACAGGGAATTAAAATTAACAAAGGGGGTGGCTTTACATCAATGAGTATTTCAGGCAGGACTTCACGGAGGGTTCCAATAAGAAATGGTGCACCTAAGTAATTGTTCTTATTGGAACAAGCAGGTTGGTCTGGCCTCTGATACATGGCTAGATTTACCTCGCTGCACCTTCTCTGTGAGTGACTGCAGTGTGACCTAGAGGAATGAGTCCCCTAGACGGGGGATGGGGGGAAGCAAATGAGTACAAAACAAATCTAGTCTATTTCTTGTTTTGATCCACTCCATCTATCTTTTACATCTTTGGCTGGCAGCAGATGGTGCAGAAGGACTGCAAGCCATCCACATCTCATGGCTGCTTGGCAGAAGATGGTGCAGTAGGACTGCTAGCCATCCTCATCTCTTGCCTGCCTGGCAGAAGATGGTACAGTAGGACTGCTAGCAATCCGTATTGCCTGCCTGCTCACCATAAGATGGTTCAATAGGACTGACTGCAGGACTAAACAGAATGACCTGGTCAAGTCACTCCAAATTTAGTCCCTGCGCCCACGTCTGCCCTGGCGCTCCTGATCGACCTCACAGAGGCGAGCAGGAGCACCTCGGACATGACGATGACAGCTACCAGTCCTATTGCACCGTCTGCTGCCACAAGGCAATGGGTTGCTGCTGCTGTGTAGCAATGCAGTACCACGTCTGCCAGCACCCAGGAGACATACGGTGACGGTTACCTGAGCGGGCTCCATGCTTGCGGTGGTATGGCGTCTGCACAGGTAACTCAAGAAAAAAGGCATGAACCGATTGTCTGCTGCTGCTTTCACGGAAGGAGGGAGGGAATGGGGGCCTGACGATATGTACCCAGAACCACCCGCGACAATGTTTTAGCCCCATCAGGCATTGGGATCTCAACCCAGAATTCCAATGGGCAGCGGATACTGCGGGAAGTGTGGGATAGCTACCCACAGTGCAACACTCCAGTAGTCGACGCTTGCCTCGGTACTGTGGAAGCACTTCGCCGAGTTAATGCACTTATTGCACTTAGAGCATTTTCTGTGAGGGGACACACACTCGAATATATAAAAACAATTTCTAAAAAAACAACTTCTATAAATTCGACCTAATTTCGTAGTGTAGACATACCCTGTGACTCATACAAGGCCACTGAACAATTCAGTAGATAAGATAGTAACAAATTCCATGTCTCTGGCTGCCCAGTCACATGCCTGTATGTAGAGAGGAAAATACCTCGCTTTCCACTAAACTATTCCTCACAGCTATTGACTCGCGCCAATCTAGCCACAAAACAGCCTGTTTGAGTCCAAAGGTTTCTACAAAGCCTCCCTTCTGTATATGACTGCCTCTCGGGTTCCAGGGCTGGATTTTTAATGGCATTTAGGCATCTGGTGGGAAAATCGCACCAGGTGCCTTTCTGCATCGTTAGCTTTAACACAAACTACTGAAAAGAATGCACTGTAGACAGGACAGTTTCCACCCAGCCCCAGGGAGCAGCACTATCAGAGCCTCATTGTGAAGTGGACCTGTTCTGCCTCTAATTTGTAATAATAATATTTAACTCTTGTATAGACTTTTCACCCATGGCTCTCAGATGTACCTTACAAAGGGAAGGCAAGCGTCATCCAAATTTTACAGATGGAGAAATTCAGGCACAAAGAAGTGAAGTGACTTGCCCAAGGAGCCTCCTCATTCACTGCTGGTTTGTGTCATTATTCTCATTCTTTGACTGCAGTTTGTGAATAACTCATGTAAGATACTATGTTCTTACAGGACTGATTAGATGGTGCCTCCCCAAGCCCATTGCCTCATAGAACAAAGCTCTGGAAGCTAGGTAAGCAGAGGGCAGTTAAGGCACAAGCACAGGGACTTAAAGAATGTTTTATTTTGTGGGAGAATGAAAGTTTTCAGAAAAAGGAAAAATATTTTTTCATCAACGCTGATACCAGTTTCACAGGATTGGCCTCATGGTGACGAAGTCAAAGTTGTAGAATTCTGGCAGACCCTGATGCTTGGTCCCATTGAATTGTTTCCAGCTGAAAACAGGAAGCCCATCCTCTACAGGTGGGCCACTGACAGCATAGGCTGCAAACACTGAAGCCATATGGAAATCTGCCACCTGTGAAGGACAGGGCAGGATTTTATAGCTAGAGGATACGTTGTTCTATTGCATTTGAAGTGTTTAAACACTATGGAGAGGGAGGGCATTGCTCAGGTTGGTCCAAGCGGGTATATGCAGGAGTAAGGGAAAGAAACTGAGTAGAGGAAAACTTATGCTAGTTCAAGCAACATCCCCCCAAACAGAAAGGTTTATTAAACCAAGCATTGCCCACACCTTAAGACACCAAGGACCCAAGTGGCTTATGGCCCCAATGATGTAAAGGCAGCCCCCTGGGGAATACCCCCAGCATAAGGGTCTCCCCAGCTGGTGGGGAGGGGACATGGCCAAAACAGTGCTGTGCTCCAGCTGTTCTTGGCTACTGCAACAACCACTTGGGGGACTTATTGAGAAAATACAGGGAGGTATAAAGCCACTTTAGCCACCTTCCCATTCACATTTCTGCACCCAGTGTAACTGCCAGAACGAGGCCCCTGGGTCCCTGCTGACCCCTGCTATCTGACACAAGTCAGGCAAGCCAGGGAAGAGCAGAAATCCTCAGAACTGGATCTGCCAAAAATTTCTGATGCTGCCTGTCCTTGCAGCCTCGCACACAATCCCTGAAACAGGCTAGCCCTGACAAGGTAAAACACTTTAGACCTTGCCAGTGTTTTAAGGGTTATTATTAATTTGCCTAGCATTTGTACTAGGAACAAAGCTGCCATAAATCCTGCCTGTAAAAATCATTCCTCTTTATTGAATCATGGCTTAAAACTAAAAGTTACTTGACCTTTGCCATCTTTGTGCTGAGAATAATTATACAGGTTAAGTCTAGAGAAAATGACTCACTGAAGAGTAAGGCATTAGCAAACACAGGGGTCACTGGAGGTCAGGAGGAAGAAACTTTCCTGCATGGTCCCCGTTAATGAGAGCAGACAGCTGCGTGGCAAATTCCCATTCCCTCTGTGCCACCCTGAAAATAAGATAACTTTGAGGGCCTTTGATCACTAGTACACTCCTGAGCCCTACTTACTGCCAGGCTTTAATAGAATTTGGGTATTAATCCTTAGACCCCTAAGGGTAAGCAATCTCACCCCAGCATTCTGCACCTGGATACACAGGACAAGTATGTACCCACGTACCTTGGGGTCCAGCATCCATCCACCCACAAAATGTACAGCTCACCTCCATCTGCCATCTGGTTCCAGCCCTCTTGCTCCCTGTGTTTAAGTGAGACTGACCTCACCCCAGCTAGTCGTGACCCTGGCTCTCCCAGTGCCACCTTGAGGAGAAGGACCAGAATGCAGCTGCAGGGAGGAGATGTGGCCAAGCAAGACTCACGGCAGGCAGAAGCCCTCTCCTGTGTGGCCCAGGTGCTTCCCCTCCACCCCACAGCACTCCCTTGTGGCCTCAGGAAACCCTGGCAATTAGCTAATCCTTTGGAAAGCAACTAATTCCCAGATGGTGCAGAGGATCAGAGATCCTAGAAACCACATAACACTGTACAGAGCGGTCAGTTAGGCTGGCAGGGCCCTAGCTAAGTAAGCAAATACAGCAGCCAGTCTCCCCTAACCCTGCCCTACAGATGCTTTTCTTTAATCGCTGGTAAGAAGTGTTGGCCAGGATAATGTTTTATTCCTGACTCTCCCCCACTGTCGAAGTTTGGGGGACAGAAGGGACAGACAGGGAACCTCCTTCTGCAGAGTACAAAGACTTGGTTGGCAGGTCCAGAGCAGGCGCCCTACTTTCACTCAGACAGTATGTAAGGCAGGCCATGGGCTTTAGGGGTCTTTACCTTTGAGTCATAGCAGCCTGCTGGCACTGGGAGAGAAGGGTTCAGGTCTTCGCGGCAGCAGATAGTGTTGCATGGATTGTGCCTGGCATAGGGCTCCTTCAGATAGTCTGGGAAATAAATGGGGAAGAGAAAAGAAATAAAGCCAGTCTACTCACACGACCGTCCCCAGCAGGGGCTAAGGGCTCCTCCTATACAGTCCCAAATGGAATACTCTGCAAGCTGATGCGACACTACCTGGGAGGTTGTAATGAGAGAAAGTCAACTCGTACAAGAGAATGGGGGAGGGATCAGGAGAGAGAAGGTAGTGAGCAGCTCTGGCCTTAATATTTTAGTCTAGAACAGAAGAAAAAAGATTACAAAACAAGAAACTAAAAATGAAGATGGCAAGGAGCAAGGTCTATCAATGCCCCCTGCAATAGTAGGAAATTGGGGAGTGGGGGAAAACTATGCCCATCTGATTGCAGTAGTGTATTGCTACTCAGTGAACCAAAGAAAGGCAGTCCCCAGGCCCTTTCCCTCAGATCACTTCCAGTTCACCATGCGGAAAAGCCCTTCCAAACTTCACATGTGGCAAACAAATGTTATATGCAAAAGAGAATAAAAATAAAGCAGCTATGGTCATCTGTACCTAGAGATGGTGTTTATTCAGACCACTTTTTCCCATTAATCCCAGTAAGGCGGATTCTGACAGCACCAAGACAGAGGATTGTGCATTGAAGGACATTCCTTCTGAGAGGGGAAAGTTAAAGGAGTCTTTTAAAACGATTTTATGCTAAATCCTCTATGTTAGTATTATAGACACATTGCCTAGTACTTAAGGCTTTGCAAGACCCTTTCCTTGCTCCAGCTGTGCTCAAGAACAGTTCTCCCCAGAGAGCCCTAACAAGTCTTCTAATTCTGTTGGTGTTTCAGATGTTCTCTGGAACGGTTAGCTAGAATAGACCTCAATGGCATGTGCACTCAGAAATGAAAACCTCCCTTGTTCCTGCATGGGGTTTAAAAAAAAAAAAGATTTTCAAGTCTTATTTCAGACATAGATTGTAAGCGCCTCAGGGCAGGGACTGTCTCTTTGTCCTGTGTTTGTACAGCGCTGAGCACAATGTGGTCCTGAGCCATGACTGGGGCTGCTAGGCAACAACATAATACAAAAAATAAATAAGTAATAAAAAATCAGATCAATGGAAAACAAATGAGCTTCTTACTGTTATATCTCATTATATACTTCATGGTCTCCAAGTCAGTCACTTTCCCCTGGTCCCGTCGGAAGATTTTTGCTCTGGGGGCCAGTTCATAAGAAAACTCCAAGCCATATTTCTCAACGTACTTTGCATATCCACTGAGGTTGTAGATCCTTTCATGGAAAGGGATGTTGTACGAAGGCCAGTATCCTGCAAGGGAGATAACCCATTCTGTTGTTTAATTATTTAAACAAACTGTGCACTCATTTAAAAAAAATGTTTAATTGCTGTGTTGCCTTAACAGTGCCGGCTAGGGAACAGGATCTAGACCCAGTCTGACAGCAGCAGAACATATCAGTCGCCATTGGAAGCAGATGAGTTAATTCATAAGTAATTCCACTGGAGAGACGGTGCTAACAGAGTCTCAGGCCTCCGGTTTCCACTTTGAAGGCTTATCCCACAAAGCAAGTTTGAGCCAGTTTCAAGTTAGACTTACAGGAGGATCTTGAGGTCTGAGAGGTTCAGGTCTAGATAGTGCCCACAGGAAGAGCTGACCACCTGTGCGCCCTCATGATCTGATGAAGCAGAGGATGCAGCAACAGTGCTCATCCACAGTAATACATGCCTCCTGCAAGCACATCTGGAAGCCACTGAGCTTCTTTCTTGAAAGAAAAAATGATTCCTAAAATGAAAAGCACATCAACCTCACACACCAAATATATGCATCAAAGCGGCATGCTGAAAAGTTGAGATGTGCCAAAGCACCAAACAAATGCAGAAGTGAGGAAAAAATTGTGTGCCAAGGCACTGAACAAACAGGCACCCAAGACATCAGGGATACAATTAAGGCCCTGAAACAACAAGCAGAAAGAGAGGTCACAGCAAAACAAACCATGAAACCAAAGAGGCCAGTAGCCTTCAACTCAAGTAACCCAGAAAGGAGCCACAGTGAAGTAAGCTTATGCTCAAATAAATTTGTTAGTCTCCAAGGTGCCACAAGTACTCCTTTTCTTTTTGCAAATACAGACTAACACGGCTGCTACTCTGAAACAGAACTAACTGTTATTATAGACCTGATCGGAAAGCAGATCAACACAAAAGGATCCCCAGAGAAACAGGCGACAGGCTAGTGAGAGCCAGAGTGGAGAAGGCTGGAAGGTTGTGGTAGCTGATGGCACATATTGACCAATAAGGGAGAGAGAGAGAATCTTGTGCTTGCCACTGCCATCACTGCCTCAGCAAGCCCAAAGACTTCGAACTAGGAGAGTTTTGTCCTATCTCACATAAGACAACGGTCAAGACAATCCTGTCATGAAAGTACCTGTAAAGAATACTGTATCCAACTGAAATTACAGGGAGATTATTCGGAAGGCAGAATGCAATTGTCTATAGTACAAATAAGTTAGGAACCTCCTCAGTTTGCAAAAAATACAAAAATGACATGGGATCATTCAGGACCATAAATAGGACCTGGCTCTGAAGTGAAATCCTAGAAGAATTAAAATGTGATCCTTTTCTGCCAATTAAAAATGTACAGTAATGTAGTCTTTTCCCCCATGGGGGAATGAGGTGGTAATGGGATGGCATATATTGAAACATGGCACCTAGAGCTACACAGCCATCTTCATCCCCAGCCTAGGGCACTGGTTTGCTACTGACAAAGGGAGATTGCCACCTACTGAGTCTCAACACCAGGGTTTTGCTAGGTCTCCCACCTCAATACCGACTGATGTAACGCCCCTTGTTCTGAGGAGTTGGAGTGGGGGAATCTGATTGGTTGATGCTCAAATAATAAGTTGGGGCTCATTAGGCAACTGTTACAAAAATACAAACCAAGCGTTTAGACATATAAAGTTTTGAACTAGTAGCCAATATGTGGGAGCCATGCACTTCTCTGAGTAGGTGGCTTGCAGTCTTATGTCTCAATACATACATGGCACAGAAGTGGGTGTCCTGTATAACTGCACAGCCTGCATTGTCTGACATGACACACAACCTAGTTGAAGGGAACATCCAGTGTAACATGTTTCTCTGAGCAGTAAAAGAGATGTCCTCCATAGATTAATGTACTTGAGCCATCCTCCAAAGAAGTAGCTGGCAAGGTGTGGGCGGGACAGCTTTCAGGAACATTCATTTCCAAACAGAAGGGGGTTAATTATTATTTAGCAATAAGTTCTACAGTTGTACTGTCTCAAAGGAAGGCAAAGAATGCAGATGCCTCCCTACCCCCACCTGGAAAGCAATATATTTAAAAACTACAGCAAAGTAACCCACGTTAAGTTCTCCTCAAGTAAAGCCTCTCCCTCACCGTTCCCTGCTTCTGCAAGGCTGTAAATCCCACCTACATAGTGCAGTGCCCTCATGTAACAACTCCTGGGTGAGTTTCTGCTCCAGATAGAGGCATGCCGTTGCTGCAGGTTAGACCATGCAGAGTGCACAACGAGCAGTACATAGAGCTGGGAGTATGGGGGGCGGCTGGCCCATGCATACAGCAGGGACTCTCCTGGGTCTCTAGGAGGAACTTTCTTTTTTACTTTTCCTGATTGTGAAGCAGCAAGGGACTGTACTGAGTGCTGTGTGGGGAATCAAGGACTGTCTTGTGGTTAATGCACAAGACTTAAGAGTCCAGAAATCTTGACTCTATTCCTGGCTCTAATACAGGCATGTTTTCTGACTGTAGGCAAACAACCTCTTGGGACTCTGTTTTCCCATCTATAAAATGGGGATAATACTTGCCAACCTCGCACAGGGGCTGGAAGGCTTAATTCATTACTATTTGCAAAGTGCTGTGAGATCTTTGGATGGAAGGTGCTATGTAGATGCAAAGTAAGAGGTTCACAATCTCGGTGTCTTACCTGACTCACCTCTGCTCCAGAGGCCAAAGACAGATGCAGTGGCCAGCAAGTCCTTCTGCATTTAAGGCTGGCTAAGAAATTGCATCCTTTTCTCTCAGATATGGACCTCGCCTCAACAATCCATGTCTTTGTCACCTTAAGGTCTCCACTGCTGCTACCTGCTGTACCTAGGGCTCCCCATGAAGGCCACCTAGACGCTTAAGCCAGTACAAATGCAGGTGCCTGACTTTCAGTAGAACAGGGAGGTTAGAGCATATTGCTCCTGCTCTGAGCTCTGCACTGGCTGCCAGTTCACTTACAACTAAAACTCAAGGTGCTTGTGTCTATCTGGATCCTGGCTTTCAGAGACCTCCTCTCCACCTTTACTCTGCAGCATCACCTGTGTTTTGCGGGAGCACATCGGCTGCCTGTCTCATACGTGAAGCTCAAAGGAGACAAAGATATATCCTTGGTTGCAGTGGAGAAATACACTTAGAAATGTTACCTAAGCCCAAGCCTGGACAACTTTAATGAACACTGCAAGATTCTCCTCTTTGCTCCAGCTTTCCCTTAAAGTAAGTCTTGAGTCCCTTGTCATTCAGCTCACTTGCTCCGCAAGAATGCTTTAAGGGCTATTATTTTGATGCTGCAGTGTATATATTCTTCTCTTGACACCATCTTTAGTTGCTGAGACTCTTCTTTCCAGAACTTTTGCTTGTCCAATCTTTGTGATTTCGTCACTGCTTTGGGCAACTGCAACACTTTTATTTCTTCCACTTTCCCAGCAGTCTTGGCTTGTTTACACTTTTCCTGTAATGTTCTTGTTTCATTGCATGTCCAGCTTTCCCTTGTTTGCTTACACCTTCCAATAACTTCCTCCACTGTATTTTGTCACTTCCTTGAATATTTCCCATCCAGTCTGTAGTGAGTTTTCTTCATCAAACACAAATTAATGAAACACCTTTCAAGCATCAACTTGTACACCTCCCTCACATAGCTAGCCTTATCAAGATCAAATTTGGCTCCAGTTACACCCCTCTGTTTCTTGGACTTTAACTTACTATTAATTTTTCCCATTCGTCATTCATGATCACTGCCACAGCCAGCACCTCTATAGTCTAACATCCAAAAGTGCCCTTCTATGCTTTTTACTAATAATAATGTGGTCAATCTGGTTTTTAGTTTGACCGTCTGCTGAGCTGCACATAATCTTGTGCATATTTTCATGAAGAAACCAAGCTCCACCAATAATCAGATTGTGTATCTCACAGCAAGTTCATTTGCCATCCTGATACCATGTTGTCCCAACTTTATTCATTTGCTTATCATATCCGCTACCAACCTTTGCATTCATATTTCCCATTATAAAAATCATATCATGATCAGGAATCTCATCTACAATGCCATCCACCTGTTGTTACAATCCACCCTTCTCTTCCACTTCTGCTACTTCTGGTGGTCCATAACAACAGGTCACAGTTATGCATAGTTTACTGCAGGCAGTAGCAAACCTTGCTATGACAATCTGCTCAGACACTGGTTTCCAGCAGTTATTTGAAGTAACTATTCTCTTGTCCATTGCTATAGCAACCCCATCCCTATGCTTCACTTGTCCACCTGAGTGTCCTGAGTAAAAGAAAGTATAATGTCCAACTGTGAACTCTCCTGTACTCAGCCAGTGTCTCTTCTGTTTGGCAGCAAAGGTAATGTGTAACTTCCTTAACTCCTCCACTACTACCTCAGTCTGGCCTGACACAAACAGTTCTAACATTCCACTTGCAATATGTGTAATATGTTTAGCTGTTAATCAAAATCCATGACCATTTCCATTTGTTAGGCCATATAAATCAGTCTGGCTTGCTGTATTGTTTCTATAACAAATCAATTTCAGATGTAATGGCTTGTTAGCACATTCTACCCTATCCAGCTCATGGGAACGCGATGTCATAGCCTGCTGGCCTGCTAGGAACAGGCACGATCAACAGTTCCACCTTACTTGCCCTTCAAGGCTAACAAGCTTGGACTGCTTGGATTTGAAATCAGTTTTCCTTCTCCTAGACAGACTTGCCTAAAGAGGTGAAACAAGCCCTATCTGCCCTGGTTTGAAATCAGAGTTCCCATCTATATACAAAAAGGTTAAATTGTACAGAAACACAATCAAGTCAACAATGCAAGTGGTAAGAAATGCTACCAGTGAACCAACAACAAATATCGAAGAGTTCCTGGAAGTATGGAAGGAGCATTTTGACAAAGAGCTGAACCGTGTAATTTTTCCAGATGCAAGCATTCTAGACATGCCAGATGAACAGGGCAGAATGGATATAAGCACTAAACCACCATCTGAAAAAGAAACAGAAAGAGCAATGAAGCAGTTAAAAAATGGGAAAGCTTTAGAAATGGATAATATAACAGCTGAGCTGCTAAAAGCTGGTGGAATAAGTGCTATCAAAGCATTAGAAAAATATATAAGGTCTGGGAGCAAGAGAAAGTACCTGATGACTGGGTAAAGGCAATAGTTGTACCAATCCTGAAGAAAGGAGATCCTGCCAATTTGAATGATTGAAGAGGTAAAAGCTTATTATCAGTACTGGAAAAATCATGATGAAAGTAATTGTCAACTGATTATGGCCAGTTTTAGAAGTAGCAGCAGGCAAGGATCAGTGCAGCTTCATACCAGGCCAAAGTTGAACTGATCTGACACACACTCCAACAGCTGATGGAAAAAAAGCGAGAATGGGGATTAAAGATGTTTGCTCTTTTCGTCGACTTCATGAAGAAATTTGATTTGGTTTGGAGAAAAGCATTATGGAAAGTAGTAAAATCATATGCAGTTCCAGACAGAATAACTGCAATTATAAAAGTTATGTACAAAGATTCCTGTGGTGCCGTAAGAACTGGTGGAAAATTAAGCAACTGGTTCAAGTCAAAGTTTGGTGTAAGACAAGGGGGCATGGAATCACCATCACTTTTCATCATGTTCTTAAATTGGACATTAAAAATGGTATATAAGTTGGAGGGCGTGACGCTGGGTGATCTAAAGTTAAGCTCTTTGGCTCATGCAAATGACACTGTACAACTAGCAGACATGTTTGAATTGATGATGACGCTCTTCACTACCTTGGAAAATTGGTGTAGTTGACTTGGACTTACAATAAATGCCAAGATGATGAAGTGGTTGCATCTTGGAAAAGGGACAATATGTAAAGTGTTGAAATGCAGCAGTGGTGAAGTCATAGAACAAGTAAAACCTTACACGTACCTAGGAAGATTGATCAGAACCAACAGTTCCACCAAAGATGAGGTTAAAAGGACATGTGCTTCAGCTACACAGAAGTTGATGAAATTATGGACTGACAAAAACACTGTTTGGCATCAAAATGAAAATGAATCAAACCAATGTACTAGCAGTATTATTCTGTGGTCTGGAAGCAGCTGCGGTAAATGAAACAGACATCAGAAAGCGGCTGGAGATAACAGAGATGAGAGTTCTTTGGAAGATGGAAGTGTACGTACTGTGGAATGACATTGACAACTGACGAAATTAGAAGGAGCAGGATGTGAAGTGACGGTATAGGTCTGGCTGAAATCAAAAAGATTATAATAATTACAACACTTTAGAAGGCAAACAGGATGCAGAGGAAAATAATGCAAACGCAACCACGGTCAGTCAGACCTGAAGGCTGACCACCAACTACATGGCAGGAGATTGTATGCAGGGACTTGACCAGGCTGGGCTTAATGGAGGGACAAGCCACAGACAGGAATGAGTGCCGGTTCTGTAGTGCTCCTCATGCTTTGGGATGAGAAGAAGAAGTGTATGTATTTCAGACTTTGGGGAAATGGTTGATTTGTACTGTGCTTGATCCAACATATGCAAAACATGTCCAGAAACTTGGGAAATGGCCATGTTATCAAAGCACGTAATGTAAAATGTTATTTTTTTCTAACATTTAACACACATGAAGATTTTCCCAAAGCAGTAAGTTGTTTAAGCCTCACAATTCATTTCATTTTCCACTCCTGCATATTCTCTTCTCTAAAGCCTCCAATCCTTTAAAACTTAGCCATACACAACAGCTAAAAAACTTCTTTTAAAAAATTACATGCTTTTAGTTTTCCCAAGTGCCTCTGAATTGCACCTTTTGGCTCTGCCTCTACCCTTCCCTAAAATCTTCTACATGTGGTACAAAAAACATTCAAATACAGAGTTGATCTTTCTGTTTTTTGCCAAAATTTCAGTTTGTGGGTTGTTTTTGTAAATGCCCCAGCTGTGACTTGTTCCTCTTCCTGCTCTGATTTCCTTTAACTCTTTAGTCCTCACTGCACATTTTCTATCTTCCTCTCTCACACCTGCTGGGTGGCCACTCATGGACCACCAGCTTGGAAGACACCAGGACTTCCCCAATGACTTCTGATGTTACCCCATCACTTTTCAGGCCCTTAATTGACCAGAGCCATTGCTAGCCCTGACAACCTGAGGGAAGGAGCCAACTGGCAGCACTGGACCCACCGTCTCTCAGTTGCTCTTTCTGGTGGGCAGGAAGATAGCCACTGAGATCAGCTGCCTGAAGTTGCTGAACAGAGGGATTCCGGGTTCTGCTCATCTGGAGACAAGGGACAGGCCATGAGTCTATTTGCTTGGCTCTCATGCAAATGTTTAGGCCTTAAAAAGGAGCTCCAGGCTTAGGGCAGAACATTCTGTACAAACTATGGAGAGGAGTGACTGCAGATCCTGGCGTGAGGGGTAGGTCAGGTCCAAATACAGCCTGACTATAGACAGGCTCCAGGAAGTAGCTATAGCTGGGGGACGAGACCAGCAGCTTCCCTGACTGTAGCCCAAATGCATAAGTCAGGAAGACTTAGGGTTTGGAAACACATAGAATAGCTTAAACCACACCCAACCAGCAGACGACCTGAATCAGACTTCCCCATGTTCTCTTGAACTGAACACATGGTACAAGTGAATGGCCAGGCCAGGGAGCCTGGAGACAGAAGCATAGTCAGAGAACACACCTTAATCTGGTCCAGAGACAGAGGGACTTGACTAGGAAAAACACAGATCATCAACAAAATGGGCTAGAAGGATAATACTAGACAGGCAACTGGCCTCCCAAATGAGGACTTGGCAGAAGCAGGCAAAAATGACTGTGCCAAGCACAAGACCAAAATGAAACTGCACGACAGCAGTTCCAGCTCAGTCTAAGAAAGGCTTGGCCCAATCACGCAGGGCAGATGGTCTGGTCCCAGTCACTGATGCATCATCCTCTGCCATCACCAGTGGGCACTGCACCTCAGGTATCTGTCGCAATCCCAGAGCAATGGGAAGGAGGAACCACCTCTCTAAAGACCTCTCTCCTGCTACCCCACTTGAGATCAGCTATTAGGCTCCTTCATTTCTAGCCCCTCGGAAGAGCCACCAGAGTAGCGATGCTAAGCCCACCCACGCAGCAGCAGGAACAACCAACTGCCATATAAGTAGCCATGTTTCAGATCCTCAGTGAGAATCTGGGAGAAGCATGTGTCCACAATGTCCAACATCAGATTCTCTAGGTTTGCAGGTAGTGAAGTTTGCCATGAGCTCCCCAGTCAGAGGGGATTAATGAGGCCTCAATTTGTTAGTCTGTCCCTAATTAAGCCATTTCAAAAAGTGAGAAACAGAAGGAGAAAAACCACTTATTTCTGCATCTTCAGCAGATTAGAGGTACACAAAACATAAAGCAGATGAAGAAAATTTATAGATTATTCATGATAAGCACAACCCCCCCCCAAAGCGTTATTTATATTGCGATAGCACCAAAAATCTTCTAGACGCTTCCACGGAATTAGAGAGGGCAGAAAGCCAGAACAAACCCACCACAGTTATGACTGATGCATCTTCCTGAATGTTTGTGTATGTGGGTCAATTCTGAAACTCATCACATCTTCAGCTGTGCAACTGCACAATAGAACAATGGAAACAAAACAATGAAGTCTGTGGACAGAGCTCAGACACAAGTGCCTGGGAAATGCTTGTGAATGTGCCCTGATTGCTGATGCTGGCTGCTAGCATGATTTCTTACAATGCCTTTGGGTTATATTTTCAGTCAACCTGTCACTAGCTTTGCTGTGGGCTTAAGATATCTTCTGGAGAGCAAATATTTGCTAGATAACATAGCCCCATGAAAGCTCAGCTCAGAGACTGAGTCTATCGGAGTCCTTTTTTTTCTTTTAAACCCATTTCCCTCTGGGGTGACAATCACAAAAAGGTTCAAGTGACTCTCAATGTCAAAATAATTCAGCACTAATTAAAAATGCTTCTTCCCGCCTCTGAGAAAAAAATAAAGGCACTCCAGTAGAGAGGAAAACCATGCAGGAGAAAGCCAAGTCAGCGAAAGAAGAACAAGTCACCAATTCTTACCTTCAGCACATCCTAAAAAGATGTTCACGGTGGCCATTTGCATTCAGATGCAGCAGGTGGGAGCCAGTTTCATATGAAACACCAAGGTGCACACAAGAAATTACTGCCGTTGGATCTCGGTGACATTTACACAAAAAGCTTCCCAACTTGGAGTCCCAGAAGTAAAATAACACTCCCATCAGTTTGCACAAATGGTTGAATTTTCCTAACCCTAAAGCTATCAAAGCAGTGATTACCTTTACGGAGAACACTTGTCTGATCAGAATACTCCACGAGTGTTGGGATCTGCTCAACGATATAGAGTGCTCCGTCCTCCAGGCTTCCTTCCAGCTTAACCTTCTTCATATCCAGGACCATGTACTGATTGTTATAGGTTCCTAGGGGGCAAGTAGGAGGAGGTTAGATCTTTCACTACTGCCTGGAGAAGCTGGGTGGGAAAAAAAGTAGGGAGTGTTTTCTTTATTCAGAAGTTCATATAAACTTACTTACCAGAGTTGCATCTTAAAAAAGTTTGTGCCCAGGTTTTGCCACTGTCTGCCATCATGTTGGCAATACGGACTCTCTGCCAGGCAAAGAGAGATTCGGGCACCACTTGTTTAAGTAAAGTTTGGTTAAACACATTGTTTGTGGTCTGCAACATTACCAAGCCACTGCCAAGTAAGTAAAAGTCATCCAGAGACATCAAAAAACCTTAAACAAAACAGAAGAGTTCCTGTTATCTTTGTGGGCTCTTAACATGGAATAGACTCCAGCTCTGCCTCACAGTCCCATGCTTTAACCAAAAGATGTTCCTTTCTCAAACAAAAAAGGCATATAACTTGTATCAGGCATATGTGCTACAATAGAGCCAGAGCAACTTTGAAGGCTCAAGCCATTATCCTCTCTCATAAATCAGGATTCCATGGCTTTTCTCAGATTGGAATACACCTAGAAGAGAATTACTCTACAAATAATTGTTCTCTGAACATAGAGCAATAACAGGTTTCTGCAAGCACAAAACAGGCAGGGAACACTCATAGCTTGAAGTTCTGAGTAGTTAGTTCCAAAAACCAAAATGCAGCAATAAATAAAACCTATCCCAAGCACAGCTTTAGAATCATAGACTATCAGGGTTGGAAGGGACCTCAGGAGGTCATCTAGTCCAACCCCCTGCTCAAAGCAGGACCAATCCCCAACTAAATCATCCCAGCCAGGGCTTTGTCAAGCCTGACCTTAAAAACTTCTAAGGAAGGAGATTCCACCACCTCTCTAGGTAACACATTCCAGTGTTTCACCACCCTCCTAGTTAAAAATTTGTTCCTAATATCCAACCTAAACCTCTCCCACTGCAACTTGAGACCATTACTCATTGTTCTGTCATCTGCTACCACTGAGAACAGTCTAGATCCATCCTCTTTGGAACCCCCTTTCAGGTAGTTGAAAGCAGCTATCAAATCCCCCCTTATTCTTCTCTTCCACAGACTAAACAATCCCAGTTCCCTCAGCCTCTCCTCGTAAGTCACGTGTTCCTGTCCCCTAATCATTTTTGTTGCCCTCCGCTGGACGTTTTCCAATTTTTCCACATCCTTCTTGTAGTGTGGGGCCCAAAACTGGACACCGTACTCCAGATGAGGCCTCACCAATGTCGAACAGAGGGGAACGATCATGTCCCTTGATCTGCTGGCAATGCCCCTACTTATACATCCCAAAATGCCATTGGCCTTCTTGGCAACAAGGGCACACTGTTGACTCCTATCCAGCTTCTCGTCCACTGTAACCCCTAGGTCCTTTTCTGCAGAACTGCTGCCGAGCCATTCGGTCCCTAGTCCATAGCAGTGCATGGGATTCTTCCGTCCTAAGTGCAGGACTCTGCACTTGTCCTTGTTGAACCTCTCAGATTTCTTTTGGCCCAATCCTCTAATTTGTCCAGGGCCCTCTGTATCCTATCCCTACCCTCCAGCGTATCTACCTCTCCTCCCAGTTTAGTGTCATCTGCAAACTTGCTGAGGCTGCAATCCACACCATCCTCCAGATCATTTATGAAGATATTGAACAAAACCGGCCCCCGGACCGACCATTGGGGCACTCCACTTGATACCGGCTGCCAACTAGACATGGAGCCATTGATCACTACTCGTTGAGCCCGACAATCTAGCCAACTTTCTATCCACCTTATAGTCCATTCATCCAGCCCATACTTCTTTAACTTGCTGGCAAGAATACTGTGGGAGACCGTGTCAAAAGCTTTGCTAAAGTCAAGGAACAACACGTCCACTGCTTTCCCCGCATCCACAGAGCCAGTTATCTCGTCATAGAAGGCAATTAGATTAGTCAGGCATGACTTGCCCTTGGTGAATCCATGCTGACTGTTCCTGATCACTTTCCTCTCCTCTAAGTGCTTCAGAATTGACTCCTTGAGGACCTGCTCCCTGTTTTTTCCAGGGACTGAGGTGAGGCTGACTGGCCTGTAGTTCCCAGGATCCTCCTCCTTCTCTTTTTTAAAGATGGGCACTACATTAGCCTTTTTCCAGTCGTCTGGGACTTCCCCCGATTGCCATGAGTTTTCAAAGATAATGGCCAATGGCTCTGCAATCACATCCGCCAACTCCTTTAGCACTCTCCTTTAGTTTTCTATCATCAGATATGGGAGAAGAGCTAGAGATGCCAAGAAGGTCAGAAGACTCTTCTCTATTGATAGTCTATTTTACACACTTGGATACTCCAGTGATGAGTGGCAGTACAAAATGCTTAGGACTTGTCTGTAGTTGTAATTAACACCTTGAGTTATTTGGGAGCAAACCTGTGTGTGGACACTCATTCGGAATAAAAGTAGATTTTACCAATTTAAATTATATTGGAATAGGCCATTCTTACTCTGAAATAAGTGTCCACACACAGGCTTGCACCAAAATAACTCAAGCTGTTAATTATAAACCAGTTTAGTTATATTGGTTTCAATTTCCATGTAGACAAGCCTTAGATATCCATATACAGGCCCTGTAATGGAGTAATAGCCCCTACCATGTGACTGCAAAGGCCAATTCCTGTTCCTCCTTGAAGATATAGTGGTCTGATGGACCTGACTCAAACAAGCCATCTTTTAGAATACCATGTCTTTCAAGGATCTTAAAAGTAGACATTTCCAGGAGATTGTGTGTGGTTGTTTGTAGTGTGTGGTCTGGCTGGCTGGGTCCCCCTCCCGGGCAGGTCACATCTTCTGTTATTTGTGATTTTTTTCTTAATTTATACAATAAATTGTTATTTAAAAGTGGAATTTTTAATTACAAAAACATCAACATCCAGGTAAGCTAGAAAGGATGATTTCTTCCTGGGTTTTCATATTCACTGATTTTTATCCTCAATTCTTTTTCAATAAAATATCATCTGTCATCCTTTCCCAGCCTAATAACATACGTGCAAATATGCCAGTGTGGCCTGGAATATATCAATATTCGGAGAAAGGAAAAAGTTAAATGCATGCTACAAGTTCAACAAGGGGAAAAATCCCTCAGAAATAAGGACAAGTGGAAACTAGAGATATCAGCAGATGGCTGGAGTTCCATTCATTCATCTTTGTCTTTGTCATCTATGTTTAAGGATGCATGAGAGCTTGATGCAACTGAAATTGCTTTTTTTTGGTCAATTGTTGCCTCTCTGTACAATCCATCTAACCTATCTGTAAACCAGTCTCCCATCGTTATCAGCATCTCTCAAACAAACTTCTCAAATGAACCCTGTCACTCCTGTATCAAAGCCAACACAAGCAATCTGATTACATCTTCTGGATCAGAGCCATTTACCTTATCTCCAAACAATGTAGGAAACTGAAGTTTCCAGGACCTGGAGCCTCATTCATCATGGCACTATTAACTGCTGAGTAAAGTGAGGCCCTACACTTAACTTGATGGCATTTCTTGGTTTGTCTGCATGTAACACAATAACTTTTGACCACTGCATCCATAAATTCCAAAATTACAAGAATGTTCTAGACATCACTTAGAATACAAAGGTGAGGCAGTGACCTTAAAAAAGCCTGTAACAGGGCAGCAGAGTCACTCTGGATACAGGGGTGAGGAAGAGATCTCAAGGTTAGGGAAAGGGTAAGAATTGGGTATGAGTTAGTGGCCCCCTCACTCTATTCCAGCCAGACTCTTCACCCCAACTCCAGCCTGCCCCCCAACCGGCATGCTTGTTCCCACTTCAGCCAGAACCCTCCACCCCCCGCAGGGCCACTCACATCCCTGCTCCTTCCAGGCCCCTCACCCTTCACATTCCAGGCAGAACCTATTGGTTTTGGTGATGTGACTAATGCTTCTCTGCTCCATGTCCTGGCAGAAGCCTGACCAGGAGGCGTCCAGGATTATTGTCAGTAGACAGGTGTAGTTGGAGGTGGCTCTCAATTAGTTTGCTTAAATGGAAGGTTAGATATCAATAAGTAACTCGCTCAATCCACAGGGTCCGGAGATGGCTACTCGACAGCTGGCTAATGTATTGTGTTCTTTAGTTTTCTTCTTCAAAAATGGCTATAATTATCTCTTTCAGGAGGGGGGCCCAAGTGATTCTGAGTGGGGATCCCATAAGTGGGAGTCTTTCCAAAGGAAGCAGGCATATTATGCAAGTCGTCTTCATCAAGAAAGCAATCTCTGTTTTGCTCCTTCACGCTGAAGGCCTTCTTTGAATTCTTGAACAGAGCTGCACACAGCAAACACATTGGAGAGTCCATGATGAAGCCACTTCTTGCCTGGCTTTCTTTGCTCTTTTGCTAGACATGCTGGGAACCACACCCAATGGAACATCATAGTGCTAGGGCCAGGGCTGGCTCCAGCATTTTTGCCACCCCAAGAGGCAAAAAAACCCCAACTTGCCACCAAACGGGGAGGCAGAATCCTTCCCGCCGAACATGGAGGCGGAGTGATGGTGCGGCTGCCGAATTGCTGCTGGTGACTGAAGAAGAGTCATGTCCCCGCCGCCGAATTGCCGCCAAGCGCGAAACGTGCTGTGACAGAGCGGCCACCAAATTCCCGCTGCCACTGAGGGCAAATTGCCACCCCGGAGCGCAACGTCCTGCCGCCCCTTTACATTTGCTACCCCAGGCACCTGCTTGGTTCGCTGATGCCTGGAGCTGGCCCTGGCTAGGAGCATCAGGCTCTGGTTCCTGCCTGAGGCTTGGCTCCATGGTCCATGCAGCAGGGCTTCCCACAGCAGCTGCAAAAATCAGGTCCTGGCCTGTGCAATTTTGTATTTTATCTGCTGTATTTAGATTCATGTGGTATTCTCTATAGGGGTAACCCAGTGGCTAAAGCATCATTTATTTCAGCCTGGTTTTGAAATCTTAATTGGCTGAGCAAAGCCAGGCCTTACACTCAACTCAATGGCATTTCTCTTTGTGTCTGTTGTCACAATGCTCCTCTGTGTGCAGCATCACATGGGCAATGTCCAGGGGAGAGATGACCAATGCAGGCAGCAAGGTTAGGGTTAAGGTCGCTGAAGGGAGTGAGTGATAACTGGCTGAGTTACCTCTGTTGTCACAATGCTACTGCTCAGGCTCCTCTGCCCGCAGCACCAAATGGGCACCATCAAGGAGAACTTGTTGTTGACAGGAAACTGATAAATCAACAAAGAGGAGCGGCTAAGACAAACTGACAATAAAATGTAGGTTTTGTGGCAGTATCCTGTAAAATTGCTGCAGTTTCAGAGATGGAGAGTGCATTGCTACCTCCCTCCACCCCTATCTGTCAGCTCGACCGACATAAGCAATGAAGCGTACGACCCTCTAGTTGTATCTATTGTTAACTACAAAATAAAGGATGCTTAATCAAAAACATAATATGTGCTGTGACCCAATGTTAACTAACTAACAACCTCTTTACCAGACTGCAAAAGATAGGGTGCTATAATAAAAAAACAGTATTTATTGCGACACAATGTGGAGGATCTGCTATCTGGGGCAACGTGACTCGTGTTGGGGTCAAACAGTACACTGACTGGAGAGGAGGTATATTTTTTTTTCTGGGAGGACATGTCACTTCTTACAGGGGATGTGAAGCAGCTTTGGAAAGTAGAAGAGCCAAGACTTTTCTGTCATGAGGTAGGCCAGATATAATCTAGAATTACTTTTTGTAAACTAATTATCAGGGATGGCTTGGAGGGATGGCTGTCTCTGTTTTATGCCTTTCATACCGTCTCTATCTGTGAAATGTCAATTAATACTTATATTTACACTGAGCTGATTTGCGTTTCCAATTACAGTAGATTCCGCTTATTGCTATTATCCAGCATTTGCTAGTAAGTGGAAGTGAAGCAACAGCCAGAGAAGGAAGCGTTGGGACGTGCCTTCCATGGATGCAGCCCTGCAAACTTGTCTGGGGGCAGGGCAGCAGCAGGGAGGGGAGCTGCAGCCTGGATGCTGGGGCTTTCTGTGGGGAGTGGGAGACTGGGGCCCACAGAGCTACATGGCACCTTTCCCTGCGCTCTCCAGGGGTCAGAGTTCAGCATGTCCCAGCGCTTCCTTCTGTGTGTGCAGTCCCCCAGAGAGCACAGAGAGGTACCGTGCAGCTCCGGGATCTGGGCTGCAGACCCCCGGCCTGCAGCCCTTTATCTCCTGTGGTCCCTGTGTGCAGGCCAGTTTGCTGGGATATAGCCCCAGAAGGAAGTGGCTGGGACATGCGAAGCACTGGCCTCAGGCAGGTTTGCACATCCCAGTGCTTCCTTCCGGGGCTGCAGTCTTGCAAACATGCCTGCAGGTGGCCCTTTCTTTCAAAAAAAAAGCTGTTAATAAGAAGCATGCTGTTGCTAATATCCAAATCCCATTAACATTGATGTTAATGAGATGGGATTGGTTCCCAACAATATGTTGCCCTTAACCAGAAGTTGCTAATAGCACGATTGCAACCAGGCAGAATATAGTGTATTTTATCAAGACAGTTTGCTGGCTGGCTCTGTCAGAACAAACTTCTCTTGGCTCAGGGGAAAAAGTGATAGCCTGGTGTGGGTCATGTACATGGAAAAGGCTGCAGTCTTCATTTGGAGCTGTGACATGGGACCTGTGGGTTCCACTGTAGACCCCAGAGGGCTAAATGACCGAAAGGTACAAGACTCTATCACATTACTGCAACTTACAGCAGAAGAATTTGGAAGTTTTCCTTATTGCAGGATGTCCCTAGACTGACACCAAGCTTGCGTCTCAGTTGTTGTCCATCATTTGGAAAAGTGCAAGAGTCTGTGAGCCGTACTGTCAGCTAGTGCCAACTGATGAGGTCACTGGATCTGGCTCTCCTAATGGCATGTGATACTACACCATAATTCAGAGTCTGCTGAATTTCTCTCATGTAGACACATACCCTGGGAGCCAGGAACCTCACTGTGGCCATGACACCTAACTTTTGTAGCTTTTTGTCTTTGCTGAAATTTGCAGGTAATGGCAAATTCTACCATATCATTGTATCAGAGTCTGTCCTGGCACAAAAAAGCTTTAAGATGAGCCATGTCTACAACATTTCTGGGCTATTCTGACTGTCTCTAGGGAACAAGTTGAGACTTTGGGTCTTCTAGAATGAACTCTAGTTATACCAGCACCTCAGTGGCTGATTCTTTGATATCTTCCAAGGTGAAGTGCTTGACGAGCCAATTGGTCAAATCAGGGAAGACTCAGATTTTTGTCTTGTGTGACGAGGCCACAAAGATTGCAAAGCATTTTGTAACACTTGGCACATATGCCAGCCCAAATGGCAACACTTTAAATCGGTAGTTCTGGTTCCATATCTGAAGCACAGAGAGTATGTCTGTACACATGTAAGCTCCATCTCCCTTTCTAAAGGGTGCAATGGTTCTCAACAGCATCTTTTCAGAGAGATCTCAGATCCAGGTTGGCCCTTAGCCTTCTGTCTGTTTAGGTACCTAGACAGTACCTTTCCTTCTCAACAGGTGACAGAGACTGAGTGGCATTCCTTGCCAGTGGGGACTGGAATTACTATAGAGACTTTCTTCCTAATACTGCTAGAATGCACTACTGAAAGGAGATAATTTGGTGGAAATTTTCTAATCTGACTTCAGTAGCCTCTCAAAGATGAGAGCCCAAATCTCTAAGAGAAGGTGGTGCCTAAGGACCATTGCGGAGAGAGAGGATGCACAAGACAAGCAGTCCCTCAACCTCAATTTCATTCAAATGTCATTCAAAAAAACACTACCACCCCAGGGTTATTGCTGTTTGTAGGTAGAGACACTGAGGACCCTTCAGCTTCTGTTGCAAGGGAAACACACCAACTAACTGGAGTACTGAAATCCTCAGCTAAACAAATTGATGACCACAGTTCTATCAGAATTAGCCTCTGCCTGCATACCCATCTCAACTATTTTTTAAAAAAAACTATTTTAAGTTTTGAATTTCAGCTTCAAACGTGTGTGATGCAAACACAAACAGCTTTTCATTTTGCTTACTTTTTCCAGTCCTGAAGTTTAGAATAATTTCCACCACCCATCCATCTGAACTCCCACCCATTTTTTTAAAACCAAGAATCCACATTTTAACATTAACTACTGGCACTTTCTAACATTGCTCTAGGATGAGGAGAATGAGATGTGCTGCCAAGTCTGTCTGTGGCAGTTTATAAGTAGTTTTGGCTACATAACTAAAACATGAAGCATACATAAAGAACAAGAAAAAAAGACCATCCTCTGAAGGGAGAGTAAGCCTAAAGTTCGCTGGTCAGGTAGAATCGCCCTCCCCCAACACGTACCCCCACCTTCACAAATCAAAAAGGCGATTGAAAAATCAATTTGAGGACTGGCAACCAAATGTCAAAGATGATGGAAATTTGATACTCCCTAGTAATCCCATTAGTATCAGTCACACCACTAAAGTGAAGTGTTCAGAACTGTATTATCACCAGAGACACACTAGCACTGTAGGGCTACTCTTGGGCAGGGTGGGGAAAAGATCAGCAATGCAGGCGAACATGTACCAAGCAAGCAGAATTCAAACTCTTTCAAAAGGAATGACATTTGCGCCAGGGGGTTGCAGAATATTTAACAAGTACTCTTCAGAACACAATCTCAGACAATTTTTTTAAAAAAGGACACATTCAAAACAATAAATCTGGAAAATATTTTCCTCTATTGGCTTCTAAGGGTATTAAGGTAGGTCAGCCTCAGTGCCTACAGTAACAGTGTCCTGTCTATAAGGCTTTTATAGAAGAGTCCACAAGAGTCAGTGAGCTGTGGAGAAGGCACATACAGACATGGATGCATTTATGAAAGCTGAGTATGAGGTTTCCTATTCTCACCCCAGTTACCTGGGTAACTGCTGAATGAGATCCGACCAGTAACAGTCTTTGGATCAGTGATGTTGAAGTCCCAATGTTTATATATTCTCAGCGTAGCTGCATATGTAAACCAACTGGAATGAGCAAAATAGATGTTCTCATATCCGGGGAGAACCTAGAAAACAGAAGCAGAACAGTGAGTAATCCTGATTATTGTAACACTCTACTCTACACCAGTAGACCTGGAAGAACAACTTGTTGCAAAAAACCCATATGATGGATTTTGCCTTTGTTCAAGAATTATCAGACTATCAAGTTTGAATCTCTTGTTATAATGGGAGATTATAATCTTTATAAGATTTAATAATCTTTAAAGCCAGAGAGGGGATGCCTGGGAGACCAGGAATTCTGGAGCAGATATAAGGGCCTAAGAAATGACAGCTGCAGGTGCTGGGAGAGAAGAAGTGGTCTGAAGGTGACAGTGTCTGGGGAAACCCAGGGTACTGTTTCTTTAAGGGCCTGGGATTAGGAGCTTTGCAGTGTGGTGTGGGACAAGGCTCCCTCTCTGTCCGCCATCCAGAATAAGTTCTGGGAAAAAGCATGGCATACAACCTGACTCTTGCCTTACTCTGAGAGAGACGTGAGCAGGGGAAGCACTGGTTGCCTGCTGACCTCTCCCAGCCCACAGGAGAAAAGATTGAGGTGGTGTGACCTGGCCTCCAAGTTGGGGAGGAAGGCTAACACCTTCACCCCAGACAAGGCACCTGGGAGGAAAGAATTTTTGTTATGAAGGTTTGTTTTGTGTTCTGTTTGCTTTTTTTTAAAAAAGAACGTGTTGCCAACCTGGGTGGAACCGGTTAAGGGAAATTTACAGAGGTCAGCTTGGAGAAGCTGCCCTACAATGGCAGCCAGCTATAGCTGTTAAAAATTAGTCACTGACATTTCTGGGAATAATCCTTGGTCAGTTCGCTGTTTACAAGCAATTAGTAGTAATTATTTGAAATTAGTTAGTTTAGTTTTTATTGGACACATGTATTATGATATGTTTCAGTTCCCTGAGTGCTACTTAGAATCAAGTTTCCTGCTTAAATACTCATATTTACAAATGCAAAATTTGCTTTCTACAATATTCTTCAATATGAGCTGAAAATATGCTGGTTTTGTGTATGTTCCTCTTGGTGACCTGGTTAAATAGAAAGTACAGAAGGCAAAGACAAGGGACCTTGTCAGTAAAAGCAAATTTGTTTAAAATTTTAAATGTATATTGACAGAACATTTTTAAGTTTTCACTCAGCTCTAATATCCAGGAGCCAGTTACAGTACATAAATATCGGACTCTTTTCAAGGTTAAGCTAAGGTTCCTGAGATGCGACATTCCCCACACCAAAAGGGAGTGTCCCAGAAGTCTTCAGATCCCATCTGGAACCCTGAGAATTCCCCATTTTGTCACCTTAATCTTTGAAGCACCATGTTGCGGCCACCATCTGCAGTGAGATTCTTTACGAAGCCCAATAACAAAACCTCTCTCAAAAATTCTTTTTTAAATCAAACCAAGACTGCCTGTTGATCTAGATGGCACTCCCTCCTCAGAGCACTGTGCCCACACCTGCAGTGTTCCAACCCCGTACCAGCACAGGGAAGGAGACCACCCCTAGAAACGAAAAACCAATTTCTAACCATTTTTATATCACACCAATTGCCATAGGACCATAGTGCTTCTCCTGGATGATTGTGAAAATCACCAGTTGCACAGCCTCCTATAGCATCTTTAACTCCCCAAATTTACACAAAGAGGTTACCTCTAAATCAGATACAGGTATCCCCCGGTCCTCCCCCCAGAAAGCTAAAATGCTGCCTCAACAGTCTTCCTGATCACTACCAGACCAAGGGACAGAGACTGGCTCTGGAAAATCAGATGCTGACCTTTTCAAAGGCATGCTGCAGAGTCACATGATTGGCCATTCTGAGATGTTTTGTACCCCTTAAAAAATGCATGGGAACTTATCATCTATCTCTCCAAAGTGGCTTTTAGCCATCTTCAGATCTTAAACAACTTCAATTTAGAGACAAATGAAAGACCAAATACAAGAGTAACATGATACAAAAGCAAGAACTAGAATGATTTGTTAGAAAAATTATCTATGTACAAAAAGAAAAGGAGTACTTGTGGCACCTTAGAGACTAACCAATTTATTTGAGCATGAGCTTTCGTGAGCTACAGCTCATTTCATCGGATGCATACTGTGGAAACTGCAGAAGACATTATATACACAGAGACCATGAAACAATACCTCCTCCCACCCCACTCTCCTGCTGGTAATAGCTTATCTAAAGTGTTCATCAAGTTGGGCCATTTCCAGCACAAATCCAGGTTTTCTCACCCTCCGCCCCCCCCACACACAAACACAATCTCCTGCTGGTAATAGCCCATCCAGAGTGACCACTCTCTTTAAAATGTGTATGATAATCAAGGTGGGCCATTTCCAGCACAAATCCAGGTTTTCTCACCCCCTCACCCTCCTCCAAAAACCACACACACAAACTCACTCTCCTGCTGGTAATAGCTCATCCAAAGCGACCACTCTCCCTACAATGTGCATGATAATCAAAGTGGGCCATTTCCAGCACAAATACAGGTTTTCTCCCCCACCCCCACCCCCATACACACACAAACTCACTTGATAATAAATGGCCCACCTTGATTATCATACACATTTTAAAGAGAGTGGTCACTCTGGATGGGCTATTACCAGCAGGAGATTGTGTTTGTGTGTGGGGGGGCGGAGGGTGAGAAAACCTGGATTTGTGCTGGAAATGGCCCAACTTGATGAACACTTTAGATAAGCTATTACCAGCAGGAGAGTGGGGTGGGAGGAGGTATTGTTTCATGGTCTCTGTGTATATAATGTCTTCTGCAGTTTCCACAGTATGCATCCGATGAAATGAGCTGTAGCTCACGAAAGCTCATGCTCAAATAAATTGGTTAGTCTCTAAGGTGCCACAAGTACTCCTTTTCTTTTTGCGAATACAGACTAACACGGCTGTTACTCTGAAACCTATCTATGTACAGTATCAGTTAAAACAAAATGGAAACAAGATGATGGGGCCCTGACGCCTGATTGAGGCCCCTATGTGCTCCTGAAATATAAATAATAATGAGGGTTACATCAACATGATCATGATACAAGTCTACTCAGGGGCTAGAAGCTATGAGAAATTTTGTTGCCCTCACCTTGATAAGAGCAGAGCAGTGACCGATGTCCCACTGATATCTCCCAAAGCCTGCTGGGTCATCCTTATACCAACCCACTACTGAATACGTGAATAATGCAGGAATAAGGTCCAGTAAATCTCCAACTGCATTCAGGAAGCGGACATCAAAGACACTCAGGGGCTGGGAGGCAAAGAGACCAAAACAAAATTATTTTCAGATGGAGAAGTGACTAAGTGAGCAACTTCAGCTGTTAATACAAGTTTGTTTTTCTTTCACCCCCAAAGGAATCATTAAGTTATTCCCTTTACATAAAACATTTGTTCATATAATGCCATAATTACACTATATTGATACTGGAATACTGCTACGGAGAAAACAACTAAGGAAGAAAAGGAGAAGTTAACAAGAATTATTAAAACCTGTTGTATCTGTACAGAAAGCCCAGAGTCAGCAGCTACTGTACTGTTAGGTTTGAAAACTTAGTCAGTTGTACATTTATCTAAATGTCTTTATTAATGACCCAGATGAGCACTAAGGTCTCACAAAGACTTTGGGCTTGTCTACATGAGAAAAAAAAGCCCACAATAGCTAATGTGTTTAGCTATTCATACTAACTTCCCTGTGTATACAAACTCTTTGATCAGACACATCCTGAGGTTGGAAAGACTGGAGATAAATGATGCATGGGGAGCTAGGTAAGCTTAGTGATACTAGCCAAATGTGAAACTACTTACTCAGATTGGTTAATAGAGAAAGCCAATCACCAGGAACTAGACTAAGGACTTTCAAAAATCCCATCCTGGCTTTAGGAGACCAGAGTGATCTAATTCACAGTTCATTTGTAACCTATCATTTGGTAGTCTCTCCCCTGGCCTCTTCCAGATAAACATATAAACAGAATTCTAATCTTAAGCCTTCTTGACACCAGGGTAATTTTTAGAAAATTCTCCATGGTTGTTAACACCATACCCTTTGTGTAGACAAGGCTCAATAGGGTGACAGAGTGCTTGTGGCTGGAAGAATAAGACTGGTTGATTTGCAAGGGGAAGCAACCAGGTAGGAAAGAAGTACAGTGCTTCCATGAAGCCCTGTTCCTAACCATGAAGCTGGCCTCTCTTAAGAGAGACTGCTGGGGAGAGGTGGAAGAGAAGAGAATGGTGTTCTCTCAATTGCTACCTATTTTAACATGGAAGTAAAATGGAGAACTGTATTGTCCAAGAGCTATTCAAACTATTCTGCTTTTCAAGTGGAAGTAATCAGCAGAAAGAATGTAATACACTGCTTTGTGCACATGTGCACAAAGGGGAAGGGAAAAACCTTCCAAAAATAAAGCATTTGCCAAAAGTTCCAATAATAAGCAAAATTTCCCCACTAAGCTAAGATCTTGTATAGCAGGTGACCCTAATATTGGCTGTGATTTAGAGGCGGAAGGCCGAGACATACATTTACCTTTTATTATATTGCTTTATACTCTCACATTTTTTAGTGAAAAGATATGGCAGGGGAGGGGCAGGCAAGGTACCTCAGGTCTATAAACAGCGGGATGACTCAAGTGTTGAGTTTTTTTTAAACAACAGTGTGATGTACCCAGAAGAGGGTCCTAGGAGTCGGTATATAGGACAACTTTAGTTTCTATATTAAATTATACATGAGAAACCACTTTCAAAAATAATCAAGAGTTGGACTGAGAGATTGCAGGGGAGAAGGCCTGACAAGCTGAGTAGGAAGAAGCCCATGGAGGTAGCAGCAAGAAGTGAGATGGAGCAGTCTTTGGCTGCTGGTTATAGGTTCCCTGGGCTAGGAAGTGGTGTACTGTGTGTGCCTGGGTTCCCATACCAGCCACTGGTATGGTGGCACAAGGCCAGAGAAGGGGAAAGGACTACAGGGCCCAGCATTGGAGCCAGACACCAGATATAAGGACTGGATTTTTATTTTGTTGGACTGTATGTCACCCTGGAATGGGTGGACTTAAATCATGACCTGGCTGTAGGATCATCCCAGGAAGAGGCTGACCTCCAGAGGACCAGAGCATCGGTCGGCAGGGGGTGCCAGACAGGGTGAGAGCTGCCATGCCTGACCACAAGGAGCAACTCCAGAGGTGAGCTGAGCCCTTTACAGTGATCTACTTAAAAGGGCCATGTTTTTTGGCACTGTGTACAAGGTAAGTGATTGTGATGATGCATACACCATTACTGACTGGATCAGGACAATACTTTGTATACTGTCTGCATGGGATTTTCAAAAGCGCTCAGTGCTGGTCTAACTCTTTCCCCCACTGACATCAATGGTAAAATTCCAAATGACTTCAATGGCAGCAGGACTAGGCCAATGCTGAGTGCTTTTGAACATCCTGCATCTGGCTTTAAGTCATGACCACCCAGAACCTGGAACAAGCATTCCCCCTAGGGAAAAGTGGGAGAGGTGAGATGGAGAAAAGGGGACATCACAAGCATACTCCTACATGTCTAAAGTCTTCCGATGAATCCATTTGCTCAGGAATTAGCATCTTGTCTTCAGGATTCTGGGAGAGCCTCAAGACACTGATCGAAGTCCTGCAACAAATCCTTTGAAGTCCAAAGGATGCTGTGTAGTCAGGGCCCTACCAAATTCACCATAGGTGCCGACTTCCCCTCTACCCAGGGGGTGCTTGGCCCCCATTCCCCCCCTAGGCCCCACCCCCACTCCACCCCTTTCCGCCCCACCCCTTCCCCCAAACCCCTGCCCCACCTCTTCCATCCCTGGCTCCTCCCCAGGCCCTGCCCCCACTCCACCCTTCCCCCAAGCTCCCACCCCGCCTTGCCCCGCCGCTCCGCCTCGCCCCGCTCCCACCCTTACTTCTGCACTGCTGCTGGCAGGGCACTGTCTTCAAAGCTGGGTGCCCGGCTAACAGCTGCTCCTCTCCAGCCACCCAGATCTGAAGGCAGCACAGAAGTAGGGGTGGCAATACTGAGACTCCCCTAAAATAACTTTGTGACCCCCCTGCAACTCCCTTTTGGGTCAGGACCCCCAATTTGAGAAATGCTGGTCTCCCCCATGAAATCTGTATAATATAGGATAAAAGCACACAAAAGACCAGATTTCACGGTCCGTGATGTGTTTTTCGTGGCCGTGAATTTGGTAGGGCCCTAGTTATGAAAGCTTGTGCAGTCTTGTCCGAGAGTCAAGCTTTCTTAACAGAATCTCAGCAACTCTGGCCTACAGAGAAGTGTCTCTCCATTATTCTGAACGGACCCTGTCTCTTTCTTTTTCACTGTCTGGCTCCCCCTGCAATAAAGGCCCAAAGCAAATTCTACAGAAAAAAAAAAAAGGGCTTTGCTATTTTAAATGTTTCTGCCTTGCAGTTCACCACTCCCAACCTTCCCTCTTCCTTGCAGTCCTAGGCAAAGATTGAAAGGTCAGTTACTGAAGTCCTTACTTTCACTGTGTGACATGCATTAGACATTTTGGGACAGATCCTTAGCCGTTGTAAATTACTGTAGTTCTACTGAAGTTCATGGAGCTACACTGTTTTACACCAGCTGATGATCTGGATCTTTGAAATGATACTTCCAATACAAATTCTAATATGAATCACAAACAACTCTGCCATAATACTGTCACACACACTCTAAAATGAAAGACTAATTTTTTTTAAAAAATCCAGGGCTTTAAAGTTACCTTTGAAAATAAAGGTGAAAGCTTTAGTGACCTCCCAGTTTTTTATTCACAATATTCTTGCCACTTTGAACACCCAAGAATTATTTGCCCAGAAACCAATTAAGAGTGCAATCTTCCAATCTGAGTGTGCATTATAAAATCATTCCCCACCAGCATTCAAGAAGACAGAGTTGCAAATTAGTTTTAGGGAAAATTTCTCTGATCTGCACTGAAGACTTCTTACATAATCCATACCGAATATCCACTAATGTTAATGAAAGCTTTGTTTGCTGAATAGGTCAGCAGAGACCCTTGTCTTTAAATATCTTCTACATCTTTGACTTTGAATTACCCTATCCTTCCCTCCTCCCCCTAGAATCACTTAGAGAGCTTCATCACTCTTACTCTTTGCTTGTGGTGCTTAGCCCATTCTTGGGCTCCCATGTACAGCCCATCCAGCTGTGCAATAACATAGCCAGCATGCCTCCAGAAGGGGTCATCCTTATTATTTTTGATTTGTTGTCTGGTCCATTGATCCTGTTTCCTGCAAAGGAAAAAATTTGGTTTTACAGAGCACTCTTCATATTCCATGTTTCCTACAAAGAAAAACACTTTACACCATAATTAACTAAATAATAGAGAGGATTAACCATGGACAAATGTAGTTGTGATAATGCTGCTCAGCCATAGCTGTCTCTCCCCTTCCCTCCCCACTCCACCTCCCAGACAGAGCTTAGAATATAAAACACCATGTTTTGTTAAAATAGGCCAGACCAAATTCTGGCCCCTGCTCCAGCCCCTTTACCCAAGTCTGGTAAGCATACAGGAGTGTAAAATGACTGCAACCGAATTCCCTTGGTGCTGTCGCAAGGTAGGGCTGACATAAATGGCTCTATGATGCCCCCATTCCCTCCCTCCACAGGCTCAGGAATAGTGTGCATCCTGGGAACATTTGGGGGCATGGTCATAGCTCTCAGGCCTACAGGTTTTCTGTACTGTATAGCAGCCTATAGCCAGCCCAGCAAAGGTTGCTGTAAAGCAGATCAATCCCCACAGCAATCCATAGTCTGGGCCATGCAATGGTGGGTATAAAGCCACTTTCACCCCCATCCACCTCCCTGAGCTGCACCTGCTGTGCAGCGTCTCTTTGGAGATGCAGCATAGAACTTCGCCTGGAATGTTTACCAGGGCATAGTGATTGCCTGCTATTTTTTTCATTGAGGAAAGGCTGGTGGTTAGAGGGGTATAAGGAAGCATTGGGATCCTTAACTTCTGCTTCAACAGGCCAAAAAAATGCCTTTAATGTAGTACCTTATGAGAGGGATCACTACTTATATGTGCAGCAATAACAGCATGAGCCACAAGCACAAGTCCTAGTGTGGGGTCCAGAACTACTGAAAGCATGCTACCCATGGAGCCATCACTTCCTAGCATAAAGATGGGCAAAAGGCACAGCTTACAGAAATGGCTGAGCTTTTGCAGAAATATTTGTAGTCGAAGAAAGAAAACAGAAATTATATCAACACATGAACCTAAGGAAATAAATAAGTTAGGCCAAATGCTGAGCCACCCAATTTAGAGCCTGGTTCTCTTCTCATGTGCACCAGTTTTAAACTAGTGTAACTCCATTGACTTGAACAAAGTCACTCCTGATTCTCGCAGGTGTAAGTGAAAGATTCCAGCACTTAGTAACTAACATATAATGTACTTGACCTTATAGAATATACACTATACAAATGTCTACAGTAGGAAATATATAGGAAAAATTACAGGTGCCAAGAGATAGTCCAATGTGGTATTCAGTACACAAGCTTGTCCATAAAGTAACTGAATACAGTAAGCTTGTGAATTAGTTGGCATTAATTAAACCTGTTTGTGAGAGTTCAAATGCCTCTTTGAAGGAACAGAATAGGGAACAGGGCATATTCCCTTCTTAATATATGTTTGCACTTTTTATTCTTGTTAGGTACATAATCATAACAGAAGGAGCCTCTACTTCCTCTTTAGCACACAAACAAGATCAACAAACTCTGCTGAAAGACCTGAGGATTCCATCATTCTTTTATTTCTAAGCCATGAATGCAAGAATCACATTTCTAGTAACTCAATACATACCCCATAAACTCCTGAATGGTGCTTAGAATGGTGGGATTCTTAATTAGTTGTGGATACAGGTTTGAAGTATGGTCATACATACGCCTGAAAGAGTAAGTGTCAAAAGTTATTTTCTGCCATTTTTCCTTCATTTCTTTCAATTCTGGTTTCATGAATAGTAACAGATAAGCAGCATAGTTTGCAAGTCAGCTGTTTCTTTATCACAGTATTAGCTTTGCATCTCTGGTGCAAGACAAACCATGATGCATGTAATAAGAGGAGACTTTTCAGAGTATAAATGGCATAGCTCACCACCCACTCAAACTGTCTTACAATGGAAAAAGATGAGAAAATGAGATTAAAGTATCTCTATAATGAAACTTCTGTTTTCCAGCATGCTTTAGGTCAGTAGCATCTTGGATGTCCTAACACGTTAACTGAAAGTATGACACAAATGGTTTACTGGAAGATGATCCCATTTGGGATCAAGAAAGCATTCAGGTGGATGCTGATTTGATAGCTTGTGAAAAACTCAACTGATATCTAACAGTGTTTTACTACCAATTAACCAAGTGTTTCTTCCTCAATGGATTAGCTAAATATCTATGCAAAAATGTATATTTAAAGAGGAAAAAAGGGGTCCTGCACACTTCCAGAGCACTAAAGACTCTCTCTGGCCTTACTGTTTTGAGGAAGAGGAATGGATGGGAATTGCCAGGAGCTTTGCTGGGATCCAGAGTGAGCAGAACTAAGCCACTCATCTGTGTAGGGAGCTCCCGCCTAGCATTGAGAGCAATACATCAGGGCCAACTATGTAACCTGGGTTGCATATGATCATGCTGAGCACTTGTCACAAGGCCAGACTTCTTTCTGTTAAAGTCTGCAACAATCCTAGGTCATTTCACTGTAAGGGCAACCCTCATTGGGACGAATAGGTTTGCAAGATCCGCAGGCCTTATTCCCAGTTCCTATCTGAGGGTGAAATGCATTCCTCTGCAGAGGGCCTATGTACCACTTAAGTCCTATGTAAGCAGAAAACTCTCATCTCTGCTTTGCTCCCATTGTACCACTCAGGCAGCACAAAGGAAGGAGAGACTCACCATGACTCCACCTCTGGGGATTCTCACAGCAGGCACAGAACCTGCAGAGTGGGCCCCTACATAGTGCTCCCCCTCAGACCCCAGCGGAGGGGGCATGTTGGGGACAGGGAAGGGGAATGGCCAGAGTGCAGTACACTACATCTGGCAGATGCTCCCTTGGGGATGACAGCCAGATAAGCAAGTTAGAGAAGCTCCCAGGTTGTTCTAATAAGTGCTTGGGCCAGGGCAGGTAATCAAGGAGTTGTAACCAGCCCCCCGACAAACACCTCTATCTGCCACACCTAGTGAATGTCCAGCAACAGAGGGCACACTTTACACCAGTGGCATCTCTAGGCTGCTCACTGACCAAGCCAGTGCAGAATCAGGGACTTGTAGCTTCTTGAGAGGCCTCGCCTCCTTATACGAATCAGAGATCAGACAGAAGGGAGGAAGGAGTTCAGGGACTCAAGTGATCTTTTTTTTAATTGCCTTGAGATATTAAATGAAACGTCTAAGTCCTTCATGCTTTATAATGGTGTCATACTCAAGCAGTAATCAGCTCATTAGATTAAGTTTAAGCTTTTCTGTTCTACCTAGGACAAAATGTAAGGCAATTAGGAAACCGGACTGAGAATCTCAAGGTACACGCCAAAGGAGAATTTCAATTTACCTCTTTAAATCAAGAGGAGCATCACTTGCAGGATGCAGGCTGGGAGAGATCATACCAGAGTGATGTTTGACCAATGATATTTCAAGTTTAAAGTTAGCTCTCTCGGACCTATCATGTTCCATTGAAGTACATGAGAAACGCAGGGGCTCAGTGTGATGGATTTGGAGTTGCTCTGTAATTGGATGAGCAAAATGAGGCCTAGTACTCCTTTCAATTTTATTTCTGTCTGCCACTGAAAGGAAGTATGACGAGACCCAAACCCAGTCAGGTCTGCAGGGGTAAGTGCAGCTGATCCACAGATACTGTAACCCAGGGCCACGTCTAAGTGAGCATTGTAGGATTCCACCCTGGAAAAGGTGAGGACATGAGGGCTATTACCTGTGGGGGTGCACTCAGAGACCAGAGAAGGGATCCGAGGTGCAGCCAGCCCTGTAACTGTGACACTCAGTGCCTCTGAAAGTCAGGACATTGATTTAGCTGCCTAAACATGGATTTAGGTGCCTAGCTTCAGGCACCTGCTTTTGAAAATCTGTGCCAATAATTCTCAGTTCATGTATAAAACAAGGGTACTTGAAAGAACTCAGAGCCATTTCTAGTCCAAGCAATGACAGATTGCATCCCAGTCTGAATACAACTAGTTAGTATTAAGGAATTTAACAGGTAGTGTCCACCAGATTTGAACTGTGAATTCTGAAAATCCAAAAGCAATTATAAAATAAACTATTTTCCCCCTCACTCCTTATAGTACCAGGTAATGCAGCTTTTGGGAGCAATGCTAAAAAATAAAATTGTCCTCATTTTAATCAGGGTACTAAATGAACACAGGTACAGGGTGTTCAGGGTACTAAATGAACACAGGAACAGCCAAATTATTCCCTTTTAAGAGTGGAGGGGTGTGTGGGGGATAGGGGGGATGAAGTGGTGATTTTCCTTTATTTGCAAGTCATTTTGTTTTTACAAGTTAAAAAAAAAAAAAAGCACAACAGGACACATACTTTTAGTCTATGTGGTAAAGGATAAGATCTAGTAGAAGAGCATCAGCACCTCTTAGTTTATTTCATCATACATTTTTTTCATAAGTTTTCTGAAACATAGGGAAGTTCTATGTGCTCCTTAGTGAAATAGAGCATGCCAGTCTATTTAGATAGCTTTGCTGTAGCCTGATGCCTGACAGCTGAGCAGTTGTTGATGCAAGTAAAGCCTTCAGCATCTTGGAACAGACTGTTATGCTTTCCACTTGCTGTTATCAGACGAGGAGAGTCTTTAAAAGCAATAGTTAAGCTGCATGGTCACAGCAGTGTGCAAAAGGAGAGAACAAGGGCATAAAGAGACTTACTTATCTCTTATGGGAGAAAATTCAGACAATGCTGGCTCTTGGAGAACAGACCTTCCAAATGTACAGAGATGAATGTGGCAGGCAGTTAGATGGGGAAGCTTGAGATGCCCCCATTTGTTTCCAGATTTCAACATGGAAGACTTATGCAAGTGTCCCAAGGGAGAACAACTGCCTTATGTTAACTCGGGTACTTTCAGCATTTGAGCAAGGAAAGGAAGGGAAGATGTACGTATCCCTCCATAAGAGCTATTTTTCAAGAATGACTAATTCATCCATTTGTGATCTACTTGGGGGAAATGTGAGACAGGACTCTGGGCTTGCATTCCAATTGTTGAATTTTAGAAAAGTTACTTAATCTCTGTAAAAAGAAAAGGAGTACTTGTGGCACCTTAGAGACTAATCTCTGTGGTTCAATTCCTCATCAGTAAAATGGGTTTAATACTCATCTCTCTCTCTCCAGCCTGTTGTGAGACTCTCTGTTAAAAAACAAACTTTTTGAAATCTTTGAATGAAAGGTGATAAGTATTATATTGTAACAAATATCTGAACTGCCACATTTATAGTTAACTTATATGCATCAAAATAGAGAGGGAGAAAAGAGACCTGAAGAAAAAGCTGGCAGTATCATGCACTGAAATTAGGTACTTACAGAGTAAGCTAACTTGAAAGGTACTTACGGAGCTGTGAGATAGCCCTCCAAAAAGCCAGCTGCATACATGAGGTGTTCATTGCCTATGGACTGACTCCCATAGCCTGCTCTGATCTCCAGAATCCCCCACCCTGTTGATTGTATGGTGTCATTGTAAAAGCCATAGGCATCTCCATTTCTGTCCAATATATCTTTGACCTGGATTGTTTTCTCAGTTTTCATCCAATATACAGTTGCATAGCGGATTTCTGCAAGCAAAAACCAAGGAGGAGAAAGTTAGAAGGTTGTATTACATATCTCCAGCAATAAGACGTGTGGGGACCTCATTCCACTGCAATATCCTATCCCTCATGGAGAACTAGATGGATGAGACAATTGGTAGTGAAGTTTATGCAGCCAACCAATTCTAGGTCACTAGTTTCAATCTATAATTAATGATCTAGAATAATCATCATCAGATGCCTGTTTGCTCACTTAAGTAACAGACAACTGGACAGACTGGTTGGTTCACCATATCTGATACCTCTGTTCACAATCTTAAAGGGTGAAAAAAATGAAAAGCTACAAAAACCAGACTACCTACTCAGGCCTCGAGATGGCCCCTGAGGAACAGAGCTAAGGTCCAGTTCATTGGCAGGGCAGAGACGTGGAAAAGCATGTAGAGCCACTTCCTGTCTCATATTGGACCTGTGGACATCCTCAGTTTCCAGGACTGAAATTCTGGCACATTTCAAAACAATTATACTGACTTTTTTTTTTTAAACAAAACGCTCCACCCAGTACTCGCTCAATTAAAGTTAACACATTTTACACTACAGCAAACTCTCCTACTGCCTTTCCAAAGATAGAAACATATTACATTAGCTGCACACACTGTGACTGTATTAAGAGTAACCCTCTAAAAAGCTAGTGACCATGTGCTATATCACTTGCAGGAAACTATGTCCACAATCTTTTCAACGCATAGCATGAGCCACAGTTGAGTCCTGATATAGAAAAGAAGATGCTCCCATACCTGACCCAGAAGAAATTCTACAAAGAGAGGTTTCAGAGTAACAGCCATGTTAGTCTGTATTCGCAAAAAGAAAAGGAGTACTTGTGGCACCTTAGAGACTAACCAATTTATTTGAGCATAAGCTTTCGTGAGCTACAGCTCACTTCATCGGATGCGTACTGTGGAAAGTGTAGAAGATCTTTTATACACACAAAGCATGAAAAAATACCTCCCCCCCACCCCACTCTCCTGCTGGCAATAGCTTATCTAAAGTGACCACTCTCCTTACAATGTGTATGATAATCAAGGTAGGCCGTTTCCAGCACAAATCCAGGGTTTAACAAGAACGTCTGGGGGAGGGGTAGGAAAAAACAAGGGAAAATATTTCCCCTATTTCCCCTTGTTTTTTCCTAACCCCCCCCTCCTCAGACGTTCTTGTTAAACCCTGGATTTGTGCTGGAAACGGCCCACCTTGATTATCATACACATTGCAAGGAGAGTGGTCACTTTAGATAAGCTATTACCAGCAGGAGAGTGGGTTTGTGTGTGTGGGGGGGGGGCGGGGGTTAGAAAACCTGGATTTGTGCTGGAAATGGCCCAACTTGATTATCATACACATTGTAAGGAGAGTGATCACTTTAGATAAACTATTGCCAGCAGGAGAGTGGGGTGGAGGGAGGTATTTTTTCATGCTTTGTGTGTATAAAAGATCTTCTACACTTTCCACAGAATGCATCCGATGAAGTGAGCTGTAGCTCACGAAAGCTTATGCTCAAATAAATTGGTTAGTCTCTAAGGTGCCACAAGTACTCCTTTTCTTTCTACAAAGAGACATATGGAAAGCAATTTACGAACAGAGTACCATAAGCATCATCAACTTTGATTTCCAGTTGAGATTCAAAAGATTGCAAAGGTTTTTTTTAAATAGTTCTCCTGTTTAACTAATTGTGAAGGAGCCACTTGATAGCTGCTTTGCACCTCTAATCCAGGCAGGCAACCCCAAGTTATTATGACACTGGCTCCCTAGAACTTGAGATTTCATCTTGCTTTTCTATAGAATCCTGACAAAAACACAAGCTTATTTCCTTTAGCATTTTGAAAATCACATTAAATAAAACAGCAATCTTGCTAAAACAGCAATGCACTTAAGTTAGACTGATGGTTTCCTCAAATTTCAACACCATGTTCACTCTTGTCTTATATACAAATACATGGATGTTTCTCAGTACAATTTCTTCAAGGCACAAGACTGAAAGGATGATGATGGTTACATCCAGCTTCCCACAAAACTTATATAATCAGTGCACTTTCCCACTGATGAAGATGTGCCCCCAGCAATCCATGTATTAGTCACCTACAGACTGGCCAATTTTAAATCGCCAGATCAGAGGCTGAAGGTGAAGGCAGCACAGAAACTCAACTGTACAGAATACAGGAAAAGATGCCAAGAGCATATCACTCTGCTGTTCTATGACCTGTCCCTATTCACTTATTCTACCAATTCAAAATCCTAGTCTTCAGCTGGCATTTTGAAAAAGTGCTCAGTTAGCCTAACTCTGCTCTGGTAGGAAGTCAATGGCAAAAGACCAATGCTGAATACTTTTGAAAATCCCAACCTTCATCTTTCAGCCCTCAGTGACATGGGACCTGGTAACATCAGGACTCCATTCACAACCCATCAAGACACCTGCATAGTACCGCAAACACCAAAAGTTAAAAAATCAGGAGTCAGAACCCCCAAAATTATGAGGTTGTCTCAAATTGTAAGGTGGTGGTTGTTTTTTTTTAATTTTAACGATTACTGAGCTGTCTTCTGACTTTAACTTCCCCTGTCCGCCTCCAATACGTGTGTCAATTCACATTGCCAATTTACAGTGAGAAATACAATTTTGGCCAACACAAGTAATTTTATGTCCCAGCCCCCACATCAACGTTGCACTCCCAACCCCAAAACAACTTATTTTGTGACAAATCCCCAGCCCTCACACTTATCCCAGTTACATATCAACTCCACACACCCAGCCACACAACAATTCTGCGCACCTCTTGCCTTGCAACCCTGTATGTGCCCCTTACTCCCAGCACACCTCTGCTCCTCCAGTGTAGGTTATTCATCCCCATCTAGACCTAGTCAGAGGAAAAGCTCCAGAGGGAGAGAGAGAGAGGCGCGCAAACGCACACACCTGGGAGGAGGGGCAGCTCCACTGGATCTTCACAACACACCAGGCCTAGGCAGCTTCAGAAGATCTTCACAAACACCCCTCTCACAGGCCTTGGGAGAGGGCAGCTCCAAGAGGGCCTTCTCCTCCTCCTCCATCCCAGGCCTGGTATGGCAGCATTATAGAAGAGGAAAGGGGAGGATAGAGGAGCAGAGAGAAGACTGACCCATTTTTTGAAAGAAGGGTGGGACAGGGACACCCTGAGCTGCTGGGTAATTTTTGTTCTCTCCTCCCCTTCTTCTCTTGAGAAAATAGTATTGGCTGCTCTCTTTCCCTCCTCCAAAACCTTCTTGGCTCTTGAGGAGAGAAGAAGTGTTCTGCAAGTCTCTTATCGCAGCTGTGATTGAGTGACTATACAAACAAACAAACTCCCCAGGAGGTGAGGACATGGGGGAAGGCAACCTATCAGACGGGATTTTCTCCAGACAGCCTGAAAAAAATCACTTGAAGGATGAGCCTCTCACGTCATGGGAAGACTGGCTCCAGCAAGGGCCAAATTTGTGTTTCTTATGATAAATATGTGAGAGTGGGCAACACTGCCTACATTCCTCTAGGACAATACAGCTAATGGTGCCAAGCACAAAACTTGCAAGAGCTAGAGACAAGGCATATTTGGTTAAAGGCTACTGACCATGGAACTTTATTCTAGAAGAGATAAGACTAAGCCCAAGGCTGAATTTTCAGAACAAAATACATGACTCACCTTTGTGCAAAAGGTTTCCTGCAAGAACTGAAGACAAGGAAAAACAGAGGAGAGAAAAATAAAAGAAACACACTAAGGAAACCTGCCAAGCAGAGAGCTGAATGCAGCATGGACAACCGTGAAAATCTCACCATATTTAGCTTTCATACTATGATGACTGGCACCATATAAACAGCTAAGATATGAGTATCAGCATAATATCTAATGCTTTGCAAAGGCAGTATGTAATGGCATTCATGATTGGATACCTAGCTTGATTTCAAATAAAATGCACCCATTTTGCTCAGTGCCCTAAAATACCCTGTTAAGAAGTAATTTTTTTCCATCATAAGCTATGAAGTTTTTCAATTAAAAAAAACTATTTTCTGAATTGCTAAGCTCTTGCTCAAGCACTTCTGACACGGTGATAACTCAGTTGCTTTAAGGCAGTTTTCATTCTTTTTACTTCAGTGTTTATTACTTTAAAAGGTTGTAACTTTACAGTCAGAAACACTTTATTGGCTAGTCTAGTGTTCAGAGGCAGAGCAGTAACTGTTTCTAATCATGTCAGTGTTCATAATACTCAGCTACATAAGAGGTACAGCTCTCTTGAATCAAAATTTAAAGTCCAGCTCTGGTTATTATTTACCAGTGAACTACATTTCTCTTTTTCCAGACTCAGTGTTATAGGAGTTCTGAGGATATCAGGTACTTTGGGTGTAACGCAAACATGTATATTTGGGAAGGGAACCACTCCAGTACTCCCTCCCAAATGGCAGTTGGAGCAGATGTTTTAAAAGGTGTTGCTTGACTAGTGTGGATGGAAGCTAAATAGAGGGTGCTTTGAGACATGAAAGACTTGACATTTCTTCAAGCACATATGGCAGAGAAGACAGGTTAAACCTCCTTAGTTATCATCTAGTAATGCATAATGTATCTGTACTGCTCTAGGTTTAGGAGAAACTGAAATCCCATTGTCATGTGAGACTCACTTGGGCTGAACGACCGAAAGCTGAACAAATAAGAGCTGGTTTCATCAGGCTGGTAAGCAGGTAGTGCTGAAAAGAGTTACAAACAATCCCTGCAAGCCAGGGTGGATTTGATTTAAATCAAATTGATTTAAATCATTATTTAAATCACTAGTCCGGAAGACTCAATTTAATCATGGATTTCGACATCAAAGTGCTTTCTTGTTGGTTGTTATAACCTTAATACATATTCTTCACAACTCAGAGGTAGATGTAGGTTTCATTTTTAGAAGGTACATTTTTAAAGTGATTTATTTTGAAAACTTTTCAGATTAGTTTTACAGCTATATCAGAAAATGAATGATTGGTTATTTCATTTACCAAA